GTTACTTGCAAATAAAAGCAAAGTGCAATCTTGCACAAGAAGCAAGTGTTGAATTCATGATTGAACTTAAGAATCTTGCTATGCTTTTGTGCTTATATGTTGTGATGAAAATCTAGCTTCATGTTGCAAAAACTTGCATATCTTTTAAAATAGCTAGAGCTACTTCTCCTTTTTGTTGATGACATAGGGGGAGAAGTATATTGATGACTTCATGCATTGAATTGAATATTTTATATATATTTGCATGATGGTTTGAATGTTTTTCATAACATGTGATGAATGTTACTTGGATTTAGGATAATCCAAGTGTTCTATCAATGGCATATTGATAGGGGGAGTTTGGTTAAACTCCGGGGAGTTAAGGTTAACTCCGTTAGTCATCAATTAGTTGTCATCATCAAAAAGGGGGAGATTGTTGAATCTCGGATTTTGATGATGAAACTAATTGATTGTGTTTAGATGTTTAACTACATTTTTAGTGATGCAGGTCTACTCGATTAGGATTAGACAGTTGACGTAGGAGGAATTAACATTGCGCCGGAGGAGATCACGTCAAGATTTTGGACGGCAGAAGGCTTCGAACGTTGGGCATCGGGCCAAGGAAAGAGGAATTGCGCCAAGGATATCGGGGTTATGGAGGTCAACCACCGATTGGGCAACAAGCCGCAAGAGAGGATGATGCGCTGAAGAATCAGATTAAGCGCCAACCAATGACGTGCCGGGCAATAGAAAGTCAATTTACGTTGTAATAATTGTCTAGATCGGAGTAGAGTTTAGGCGTGTGTGTGCAGGATTAACTACGATAACGATGAAGACATAAAGTGAAACAAAGTGCCAGAGTCAAGCACGAAGGATTCGTTGGAAGTTCGAGAGTTCGACGGAAGTCCGTAGGTTCGTCGGGAATGCTGCCGGAAATAGCCGAGAATGAGTAGGGAGCTTGCCGAAGGGTTTTTGGAAGCTCGCCGAAAGGTACGTCAGAAGTTCGCGGAGCTCACCGAGAAAGATCGTAGCTTGCCGAAGAAGCTCATCGGAACTCACCAAGATCAAATCGTGAAGTCTAGGAGCTTGCCAGGAGTCCGTAGAATGGTTTCCGAGAGTTTATCGGAAGACCGCCGAAAGTTTGCCGGAAGCTCGCTGAAAGAAGTCTTGACTTGCGGACTTTGTAATAGCTTAGGAAATGTCTTTAAATTCGTAGTTAGCATGTTAATTAGGGTTAGGATTAGGTGTTAATCCTATAACCCAAGTAAGGGCCAATTGAGCTCGAGTTTGAACTAGTTTGGGCCAAGTTTGGAGACCAACCAGTGAGCTGAAATAGTCTAAGCGGTGGCACTGCCCAGAACCCGAAAGGTTGGGCGGTGGAACTGTCGAACTAGGCAGTGGCACCACCCAGAACCCAAAAGGTCGGGCGGTGGCACTGCCCAGCACCCGAGATCAGGCGATGGCACAGCCACCGACAGGCGGTGACACCGCCAGTACACTATCAGTGTCAGATACTGACAGGCGGTGGCACCGTCAGCATCGGGAACCCACCAACAACCGGGAGTCCACAGAATGGTTTCCAAGAGTTGATCGAAAGACCGCCGAAAGTTCGTCGGAAGCTCGCTGGAAGAAGTCTTGACTTGCGGACTTTGTAATAGCTTAGGAAATGTCTTTAAATTCGTAGTTAGCATGTTAATTAGGGTTAGGATTAGGTGTTAATCCTATAACCCAAGTAAGGGCCAATTGAGCCCGAGTTTGAACTAATTTGGGCCAAATTTGGAGACCAACCAGTGAGCTGAAATAGTCTAGGCGGTGGCACCGCCCAGAACCCGAAAGGTTGGGCGGTGGAACCGCCGGACTAGGCAGTGGCACCGCCCAAAACCCGAAAGGTCGGGCGGTGGCACCACTGACAGGCAGTGACACCGCCAGTACACTATCAATGTCAGATACTGACAAACGGTGGCACCGCCAGCATCGAGAACCCAAAGGAATTCAAAATTTGGCACCCAAATTTGAATCCTCTTGGGGCCTATAAATACCCCTCAATTCTCAGCTGAGAATACAACTTTTTGAGAAGCATTAGATTGAGACAAAAGCCTTTGTAAATTTTTTAGCAAGCCTTGTTTTCAATTGCTTGAGTGTTTACCTCCTTCCTTTTCGTTGAAGATTTGTAAGAGTGTGAACCACTTGTGAAAGGTTGTAAGAGGGGTATTTGTCCTTCTCCTTCAAAGTGATTTGCTAGTGGAAGTTGGGAGCCTCATCGAAGAAGGCTTCGCAAGTGGATGTAGGTCATTTGACCGAACCACTATAAAATTGGCGTGTTCTCTGATTTGCATTTACTTATTGCTATTTACCTTATTGCAAACCTTCATACGTGCTTTACTTCCTCATTACTTTTGCTGCACACTTTTACGAATACACTTTCAAGTTAAGCACTTCCGAGTTTAGTTTTTATCGTACGAAAGATTTTCCAAAACCAACATTTTAATCCACTGCACTAATTCACCCCCCCCCCCCCCCCCCTCCTTAGTGCCGCTCCGATCCTAATAGGTTTATCATGATTTAGAATCTCTCGATCGTGATCTCGATTCTTTATTAAACTAACTCATTCTAGAGAGATTTTTGGTATGGATATAAAGCTCATCAAGACATCACGATTTAACGGTATCGATAATTATGACTACTAAATTTTTATTGATCATGATTATAAATTTATATGCACAAATAAAAATCATAAAAATATAATAAGTATATATTTTATTTTAAAAATAAATTATAAAAATATTTCATAATTTCGGAAATCTTTTTGAGATTTCTAGAGATCATAAAAATCTAATGCTACTATTTTAATGAAGTAGAGGGCTCATATGATGAATAAATACAAATTCTAGAGATCGTGATCTCTTTTCTTTGCTACACTAAGTTATTTTAGAGAAATTGTTGGTCTCTTAATAAATCTCACCTTAAGACATCATAAATTAATGGTATCGATGAGTATGACTCATTAAATTTTTATTGATAATAATTATAAATTTATATGCATAAATAAAAATTATAAAATATAATAATTATATATATATTAATTAATAATAGATATAAAATATTTTTAAAATTATTTCATAATTTATGAATTCATATTGAGATCATAATCTTTATTATTGATAGAGTCATGATAATAATTTATAATTTAAAATTATAAGAATATATTCTTAAAATATCGATATGATCTTGATAATCTTATCTCAAAGATATCTATATTATTTCATAATTTAGAAAATCTAGTTCTTTATTATTGATAAAATCATGATAATATATTATTATATATTCAATAATTTAGGATCATGATAATATAATATTAAAAAATTAAAGAGATAATGATAAATCATATTATGTTTATCATGATTTAGAATTAATGGTTTGTGATCTCGTTTCTTTGTTATACTAAGTCTTTTAGAGAGATTTTCGGGCTACAAATTTTTATTAATAATTATTAAAAATTTATATGCTCAAATAAAAATTATAATAATATAATAATTATATATTTAATTTAAAAATAAAAAAATATTTATTAAATTATTTCATAATTTCGGAAATTATTTAGAGATCTAATCTTTATTATTGATAAAACTAATTTAATATTTTATAATTTAAAATTATAATAATATATTCTCCAAATATCTTTGAGATCGTGATAATCTTATCTCAATAATATCGATATTAATTCATAATTTAGAAAAACATGTTCTTTATTATTGATAAAATCATAATAATATATTATTATAAATTTTATAATTTAAGATAATAATAATATAATATTAAAATATTAAAGATATCATGATAAATCATATCATGGTTTATCATGATTTAGAATCTTTAATTTCGATTCTTTATTACACTACCTAATTCATTTTTGTTATGGATATAAAGCTTATCCTAAGATATCATGAATTAACGATACCGAGTATGATTTACTAATTTTTTATTGATAATGATTATAAATTTATATGCATAAATAAACATTATAAAAATATAATAATTATACGTTTTATTTCAAAAATAATTATAAAAATATTTATTAAATTATAATTTAGAAAAACATGTTCTTCATTATTGATAGAATCATTATTAATTATTATTATAAATTTTATAATTTAAGATAATGATAATATAATATTAAAATATTAAGAAGATCGTGATAAATCATATCACGATTTAGAATACCTTAATCATGATCTCGATTCTTTTTTACACTAACTCATTTTAGATAGATTTTTGGTATGGATATAAGCTCACCGTTATGAATTAACGGTACCAATGATATATATATATTATTTTGAAATATAATCTTTATTATTAATAGAATTAAGATCATGATAATCTTATCTCAATGATATATATATTATTTCATAATTTAGAAAAACATGTTCTTTATTATTGATAGAATCATGATAATATATTATTATAAATTCTATGATTTAAGATTATGATAATATAATATTAATATATTAAGAAGATCTTGATAAATCATATCATGGTTTATCATGATTTAGAATCCCTTAATCATGATCTCGATTCTTTGTTACACTAAGTCATTCTAGATAGATTTTTTGTATCGATATAAAGCTCATTAACGGTACAATATGACTCACTAAATTTTCATTGATAATAATTATAAATTTATATGCACAAATAAAAATTATAAAAATATTTATTAAATTATTTCATAATTTTGAAAATCATTTTGAGATTTAATCTTTATTATTGATATAATCAAGATAATATTTTATAATTTAAAATTTTAATAATATATTCTTAAAATATCTATGAGATTATGATAATCTTATCTCAATGATATCTATATTATTTTATAATTTAGAAAAACATGTTCTTCATTATTAATAGAATCATTATTAATTATTATTATAAATTTAGAATAACATATTCTTTATTATGGATAGAATCATGATAATATATTATTATAAATTTATAATTTAAGATTATGATAATATAATATTAGCACATCTAATATTATAGGAGAATACTTCACCAAGCTTTGTTAGCACATCTAAGCTCCATGGATCGGAAACCAAGGTCATCCATCCATGGTTCATGGAATGCTAGGTGATACATATACTTAATGTTAGGCGCCTCGCCTTCTTGTCTTAGTCATCGACGCCCAAAGCATACTGCTGCAGCAACAGCCCACACTGTTGCAGCGGCTCGTCCTTGAGGAAGCCAAGGGAGTTCGCATAACGGATGTCGGAGGCCAAGCCGCTCCTGCCGGTGACCAGGACGCGAGCACGATTCCTGCTTTGCGCCACCTCCGTGCAGCCTGGCTGCGGACTCTGCAGCAACGACACCTCGCAGATCTCCTCCTCGTGGTTGTCCTCCACCTCGATGTGGTACGTGCCGGTGCTGTCCGTCACGCCCTCGACCAGGTGCTCCACCGCATCGGTTTCGTAGTTTCTGCATTGCAGCTTGACCTTGGCACCTGCAAGCCGATCTCACCTGTCAGTACTCCTGCATGAACGCATGCAGATGAGGTAGATGAGATGGCCATTGGATATCTTTCCCCTCTTAGTATGTGTGGGAGATGTGGAGAGCAGTAGAGGGAGCGAGAAGGGCGAGTGAGTTGTGGGAGGACCGGCTTGGCTTTAATAGCTTGGGGAGTGAGCATGATCGCGATTCAACAGTTTGTAAATGGGTTTTTATTGACTGGTTTATAATATGATGCATCAAGTGCATTGCTCATAAATACTTCAAGGCATCCATTTTAGTGTTTCATCAATTCTCATGGTCATTCATGGATGCTTTAAGGGTTATATGGTGCCAAAAAGGTTGACGTTTCCATCAGGAATCAAAGCTCTCGCGGATTATGTTCATGGCAAGGGGCTTAAACTTGGTTGGTATTTACTCGGATGCAGGGTAAGTCTGGTAGAACAATTAATCTTGATCATCTCTTCATGATTGTCTTGATCTGTGAGTTCTTGAAACAAGACTTATCGGGCATTGCAAGCACCAAACATGTAGCCAGACGATGCCAGGATCGCTTTCTCTGATACAAATTAGCTTGCTGATTCTTCTTATTCTTGTACCATGACATTGATTATCTCAAGTACGACAACTGTAACAATGATGATTTGAAACCGATGAGGCGGTATGGTTTTCTTTTTTTTAGTCTCCATGAGATTTTATGTGTGCCATTGAAACAAGGAAGAATTGTCGATATAGGTATCTTGAGATGACTCGAGCTCTTATGAGAACAGGCAGACCAATTTTCGTTTCTCTTTGTGAATGGTAAAAAGGAAAAGAATACTAGAGAATAGAAGAGCAAACAATCCTTGCTTCTTCGATCGACTCTGCTCTTGTTCTCTCTGATTCAGGGGAGAATCATGATAATATATTATTATAAATTCTATGATTTAGGATTATGATAATATAATATTAATATATTAAGAAGATCTTGATAAATCATATCATGGTTTATCATGATTTAGAATCCCTTAATCATGATCTCGATTCTTTGTTACACTAAGTCATTCTAGAGAGATTTTTTGTATGGATATAAAGCTCACCCTAAGACATCATGAATTTAGAATAACATGTTCTTTATTATTGATAGAATCAGGATAATATATTATTATAAATTTATAATTTAAGATTATGATAATATAATATTAGCACATCTAATATTATAGGAGAATACTTCACCCAGCTTTGTTAGTACATCTAAGTTCCATGGATCCGAAACCAAGGTCATCCATCCATGGTTCATGGAAAGCTAGGTGATACATATACTTAATGTTAGGTGCCTTGCCTTCTTGTCTTAGTCATCGATGCCCAAAGCATATTGCTGCAGTAACAGCCCACACTGTTGCAGCGGCTCATCCTTGAGGAAGCCTAGGGAGTTCGCATAACGGATGTCGGAGGCCAAGCCGCTCTTGCCGGTGACCAGGATGCGGGCACGGTTCCTGCTTTGCGCCACCTCTGTGCAGCCTGGTTGCGGACGGTGTTGTCCGTCACGCCCTCGACCAAGTGCTCCACCGCGTCGGTCTCGTAGTTTCTGCATTGCAGCTTGACCTCAGGTTGACCATTATGGCAGGAACAAAGTGTTCATTTGAGAGACAAATAAGCTGAGAGTGAATCATGAATTGAGAACATGAGGTGTTCTCAATATATCACAAGTATATTGAGAATGATTGTTGTGGAGGATCACGAAGTGCTGCTTGAGGAAAATGGAGACAGAGACCACAATTGCATGGCCAATTCATGTCCATATCATCTCAAAGTACTGGAAGAAAGAAGCAAACAGAAGAATCATGATGCTGTAATCTGCTTTGGACTAATAACTTTCCTTCTTGCCAAGAAATTAAACTGACCAAACCATTCCATATATTAGTCTACAGAAAACATACAGCATATATGATCCTCGTCATTGTAACGTGGCAATAACATGCAAAGGTTTTACGATATGATCTCACAAAGGAAGCACAGATGGCTTGTGATAAGTAAGTTCATATTATTACAGGCGATAATACATGACTTTTTCTAGTTGTCAGCAACAGGTACGAATCCAATGCTGAAACCGAAGGTGATGCAAGTCAGTTGCTGCCCATCTTCTCCAGTCATCCGCATTGTAAGTGTGTATGATCCCTGCAAAGAGAGATAAACCTCAGTTTCTAGGAAATTCCTTGCGGAAACAATTTCACTTCCATCGCAGATTCCAATGCAGGAAACACCGAAATGTATACAGCTAGTAAATACTACACGACATTCACAAAGAAGGGCTCTCCCCAAAATGGAGGACATCTTCATGTGATTCAGTAGTTGGTCACTCAAGTTGCAACCTTGCCATGATACAAAGACTCGCCTTCTACATGGTTTTACAATGTCTACAGAATATAATAATACCTCATATGAGATGAAAGAAAACATTTAAACAAGTTGAGACAAAATATTGATTCAATTTTCAACCAATGCATAAGACCATATTACTTTAGCTAGAATGGCAAGACAGAAATAGCTTTATCAGCTCAAGAGACAAATTTAAATTTATTAGAAAATCATGTTGAGATCATGATTTATTATTGATAGAATCATGATAATATATTATTATAAATTCTATGATTTAGGATCATGAAATATTATATTAAAATATTAAGGGAATCATGATAAATCTTATTTTGATTTAGATTCATTCGATCATGATCTCGGTTTCCTTGTTGCATTGGGTTAGGAGAGATTTGGTATGACTATAAAGATCACACCAAGACATCATACATTAATGGTGG